GAACTGGTTCTGAAAGCCCAGTGCTGGGTAAGAGGAGACACGGACTGCACTCCCAGACTAGTGGTGCTCTGGCTAACCCTGCATCACAAAGGAGCCAGGTCACATTATCTCCTGAGGTCCCTTCCATCATGGTATTTCCAGTGTCATTTGGCTCCTGCATTTTTACAGTATCATGTAAGTGGCATGCTCATCATGCTCTTCAAGGAGGCTGCCAAAACTCCCACTTTATTGTTGAGAACAATAAAATGTTGTTTAATATCCTTCCTTCCAGCTCTCGGCAATTAAACTTATTTCCTCCTTGCCAATGTTAAGTAGTCTGACAAAGTTCTTGCAGAATAGTATGTTGTCTGAAACCTGTTCATCCAGCTTCTCTCTCATTCTTTGCAACATAATCAGGGAAGATACACACCACCATAAATAAGCGCTCAAGAGCAGAGTAAACATTGAGTAAGGGAAGAGTGCTGGAACACTGCAGAGCTGCTATAGTTGTGTAGATGTTGTGCTAATCTCCTAGCTGATGCTTTCTCTTGATGCTCTCTCTCAAACAACCTGAGCACACACTTTTCTTGGAGCTTTAGAGCTGATGGGCTAAGATGCTCAAGGGACGTGGTTAACTGCTTTTCTTGTCTAGGAGCCAGGACCAAATAGAAACCTCTAGAGAAGCAGTATGAAAGTTGGAGGGAGAGCACATTCCCACTGTCATGAGCTAATGACAGTGAGACAGAAGGGGAGAGAAATTTCCTACCAGCAAGCAGAGCCATCCTCCTCTGAGGTCCCATTTTTAGCCCTATGCATGTCCCCACCACCCCATGCAGGAATGTGGGGATAGGATCCCTTGCTCTCTGTCTCCACAGTGCATAACCAAACCAGCACCCACCATGAGACTCCCTGTTCTCTGGATGCTTACTTTATTCTAGTTGCATGCTCCTTAAAAATGAGTTATAAAAGACTGACCAGAATGTTGTGATATGTTCTTCTGATTTAAGGATATCAAATTCAGTTGCTCTAAGCTCTGGCATGGCTGGTTTTGATATTTACCTCAAATCCCAGCAGAAATTAAGCAGAGGAGCTGGGATTCAGACGTTTGAGATTAATGGGGTTGCTCAGGTATCGAAGCAATGACAAAATGGAAAGTTATTCCTAGCAGAAAAAGTAATTAGTCCCTTTCAGATCTTCAGTTTGACACTAGCGCTAGCATCAATTATTCTCTGTTGGGAATATTACATCTTAACAAGGTTCACTGTAATATCATCCTTTCTCAGTAGTAGTCGGAAGAGAGAAGGCCTCTTCAAATCTTGTCTTGCTACCTTGAGATTTTTAACATTTAAGCCTCCCACTTATCAGCTGATACCTTGCATTGACTTCATCACCCGAACAATTCCGGTACTCTCAAGTGTGTGGAAATCAACTCCTTTATTTCTTTTTTCCCCCCTTTTTTGGCAAGAGTCTGCAGAAAAAAATCAACGTTTCCAAGCTAAAAGGTATTGTTACAAGTGAAGTTAAAATCCTCAGGGTGGAGAAAACATGTCAAAATAATCTGGCAAAGCTGTGAGACTGGATCTCAGGGAGAAAGGGTAGCTCCACAGTGTTGGTTTCAGCTTAATCGGGAAACTGTGCCAGCTCTGGGTCTCAGCTCCTGCTCCTGCTCCTGCTCCTGCAGGTCACAACAATTCTTCTGGGCAGAGTGCACCACCCGCAGCTGTTTCCAAAGGTGTAAAGCTGTAAAACTCCAAACTCCTCAGGTGCAAAATACACTGCATTTTTAAGAGCGGTGCTGCTGTCCTAGTGCATGCTTCTTGGGGAGTTTAATAGAATCTGGTGTAGTCTCTGCAGGCCAAGGAGATCCTTCCTCTGTACCACTATTCATGCTACAGCCTCACAGCCATTTGCCCTGTGCAGAAGTCACACCTTTGCTTAGGTTCTAACCCTGGTGCTCCCTCTTTCATTTCACCATCTATAATCCAAAAATCCCATCTCCAATTTAACATCATGTGTTTGAAACTGTTGAAACATGGTTAAGGAGATTTAGATGCACAGCTGTGTGACTAAATCCCCTGGATAGGTTTGATAATCAGCCTTTATGCATAGCTCCAAGTTATTTTGAATAAAGGACTGCTGAAAATAACCAGAAAAAAATAAATTCTAAGTGACCTCCTTTCCCGTGCCTCTATATTGGGACACTCTGTGGGTAAACGTCTCTGAATAGAGCTATTCTAAATTAAATAAATCACTGTCTTTGGTGGGTATAATATGAGGCTGGCAATAAAAGCTATTTAAAATCCCATCAAGATGTTGAAGTCCTAATCCAGACTGCAGTGGGACTAGAGTGCGCTGCTGCCAGCACACCTGGCCACGGTAGCTCTCTCACAGGCCACTGTACCCTGATGTGGCCCACTTCTGCCTACCTGGACTTGCCATTCAGATGTCCAGGGCAGATTGCCGGCAGCTTGCTCAAATGACACCTTGGGAGGCAGTGAGATAAAATTAAATCACTACTGGGACATGGAGACAAAGCATAGTGAGGGCATGACTGCCACAACTCGACAACATCCAGCTGCAGCCTGCAGAGCCTCCAGAAGGGTTTCAAAGTTAGGTGTTTTGGAAGGACTCACAAAAACTCTTGGGTTCAGCAGGGAAGCTGTACTGCCTCTGCCAAAGCAGAGAGCTCCTGTGGAGATGTTTGCTACTGGCTGCTATAGTATACAGCCAGCCCAGTTGTCATAGGGCCTTTTTGAAGGCATATTTGAAGCCAGTTGTGCTGAATACTTTAACATGGTTATTTGAAGCATTTGTAATAATTGTATTGTAACCCTTATTTTCATTGATGTGGTTGTTTCTGCAAATTCTTAACAATCACAGGTCACTTTTGAGATGGAAGCATCTTAGTATTTGTTATAAAAGCTTTTTAAGAGTAATTCATGTCTTATTTACTCTGTCACCAGATCATTTCATGTGCTAATGCACTGGGAATGTCAAGCTGTGCTGATAATAGCAGAGTTTTCCTTCTACTCATTTTTATTCCTGTGCAAATATAATTAAGGCAAGAAGCGTCTTAGGGGTGCCTGATCCCTTGCGTTAAACTAGCACCCTTTTTGCCTCCTAGGGCAAACACATCCAGAACTGCTGTCTCTGGGAAAGAGCCATGGCTTGTATCTATTAGGGCAGCATCTTGCATGCTTGGTCGCTGAGCCCATACCCATGCTGGCCATATGCAGGGCAATCGTCAAGGGTGATTCACCCAGGAGCTAAATATGTGTCTCATATTCAGCACAGGAACAGCCCCAGCAACTGCCTCTGGAAATATTGCCATATTTTATGTTTGGCTTGTGCTTAAGACATTCTGAATTTAGGTTTATATTGCAGCGAAATTCCAACAAACACAGAGTCTTGGGAAAATTGGGATTGGGGGTTTGGGGTGTGATTCTTCCAAAATTTGGGGGAAAATGGAAATCTTTTCACTAGCTGCCAAGAGCTTTGTATTAAACCTGTGAAAGAAGATATGGGATGACATCAAGGGGACGTGTGTCTGCATGTCTGTGAACTAGAGCCAGTGTGATAACAAAGCTTCCGTGTAGCACAGGGAAGAGTGCACAAGGGCACGCTGAAGACATCCAGGATACAGGGGAGGACAGTCTTTGGACAGAACTATATCTTAAGAGTAAATTTTGCAATTTGTTAATTATTCTTTAAAGCACCACAAGGAACTAGCAGTATCCAGTGAGGCTCTGACTAGGCTTGAGGAACCCAAAGGATAGCTTCATCCATCTGCTGAAGGCTTCAGTGTGTCAAAGACCAGGCACTCTGATAAAGGGGGGCTTGATCCCAGACTACCTAACAAGCAATCATTCGAGGTACTCTCACCATACAGATGGAGTAATTTAGGAAGTGACCCATGTGTGCTGATGACCCCTGCAAACCAGATGGTTTATGATTAAGTACCTAAGAGTGCTTTCAGATGCCTGATAGAAGACCTTTTCAGATAAGGAGCCTAAGGTGACTTGGCCAGTCCACTTCATCACTACGTAATATAATTTGATACATATAATTTTACCCTGTGTAATCCATCAGAGTTTGTCTGTCTCAACTAAAAATTACCTTGTTCATGAATATATGAAACTCTGATGCTATCCCCTTTTCTAGTTCCACTGATCCCAGAAATTAAATGTGTTCGTTAGAAAACTGGAAATATGTAAGTGAAAGGAATCAGCTCTCTGCCCTTTTAGACTGACAAAAAAAAATTGTAGCAGACTACAACTAAAAAAATATTCATAACTTGTGAGTCACAAAAGACCCTAGGGTGAATACAATTAGAAAAAAGAGAATTAATGGTATATTGTCTATGTATGTTGGAACTGCAGGCAGACACTGAAGTGTCAATAACTTAAAGCAAGAATAGCTGCTGTTGTTGCCTTTTTTTTTTTTTTTTTCAGACTACTCCAAGATCCTATGCAAAATATTTTCAACAGCTTTCATCTTTAAGGAAATACATAGGCAAAATTTACTGCTATAAACAAATATTCCAGGGGAGGACAGAGTAATTCTCTGTACTAATCACTGTCAGCGTACTGTTGAATTGTCAGTGTCACTGGATGATGTAAATAGTGTCTGAAAAATCATTGGTTTTCTGTTGTTGTTTACATGGCTTTTTTTACACTAGTTTCACCATCGTACTAGAATATCAGACACACTTGCCTTACATTGGTTTCAGCAGAAATATGGACTGCAATAACCAGTCAATATAATAATGCTGCACAGGGGTGCAGGGATGACATATGACAAGCCATAGTAAGATCAGTAGTATAGCAGCATCATTAACCTTTTTTTTTTTTTTCTGCACTAAATTTTCCACAGACAAGAGCATTAGTAATTTTAACTTTGATTGAGAACTGCTATTATCCACTCACAGCATGTGGGAGCAAACAGGCACTTGGATAAATCACAAAAAAGAAAACCACTTAGCATGCTGCTTTCCCCAATAACACCTTTTTCTGAAGGTACAAGGCTGAGTGCTGTAGGGAGAGTATGTGTGAAGAGAAAAGCAAGGCTGCAACAGCCCGCTGAAGCGTGCTCAAGGTCAGCCCCCCTCACAGAAGACCAAGAGGTCACGTTTGACTTAGAAGGTATTCTGATATGTTTAAAAAATTTAAGTAATTAAATAATTCAGTGAATGAAAGCCATCAGGATTCTAATGCAATGTTAATGGGGTCTTTCAGGAATCACGAAGATCAGTTTCATGAGTGACATAACTGGAGCCATTAGGAAGCTCATCCAAGAGTAATCATCCATCAAAGGTGAGTGCCTGCACATCCATGATGCAGAGGAGCGTGAGGAGCAGCACAAATGTTCCTGCTTGCAACCACTGCAGTGGGACACGTATGAATAACCTCTAAATTGCCTCGTTCTCCTCCTGCAGGCACTCAGCCCAGGGGTGTGCTTGCCACCCTTCAGCAATGGATGAAGCGGGCAGTGACTCCACCAGCATGAGTATGCAGGAGGTCACTTTCTCCACAACCAGTGCTGCTCCAGCAGATCGATAGGTGAAAAGCAACCCAAACTGGTTTGAAACATGGAGTACCTCTCACATGGTCATTGAGAGGAAGACTTTCTGGACAGTCTCTATGAAACCTCAACACTGTTTTGGATTGGTATTTACTTCCAAGCGTGCCAGCAGTGCCAACATGACAAAAGAGAACTAGGAGTAAGGGCTACAGCTGCTCCTCTAACATTGCTGGGACAGCCTCCAGAATAAATTTCCAGCTCCTACTTGTACTGGATATATCTTCTATGCCAATGCCTCTGGAAGGGACCTGAACTGGAGGAGGTTTGGCACTTCATCTGTGCTGTGTAGAATCCAGCAATAAATTATTCCAGTATGAAGGTCTAATACAGTTAATAGATCATATAAACTGTCTACTGTGTTTCATCATATTTAATTCCTGCAGCAACCTGCAGCCATCCAAGCTGTTTCAGCCTGCCTTTTACAACACTCCAGTGCCCCGAGAGATGCTCTCCCAGCTGTCCCTGTGTCACCAGCACCTCTGCATCAACAGAGCAGTGCAATGCCTACAGAGCATTCGGCTGCTTCTCACCCTCCTGTGTGGTCCCAAGTGAAGCAGTTCCCTCACCACTGTGGGGAGATCCACAAGGGACCCCGTGGCCTGGCCATCCCCACAGAGTGGGCAGGCAGGAGGGCAACACCAGCCTCTGCCTGCCTGTGGCTGCGATCTCTTCTGGGGCACGAGCTTTGGGAGAGCTCGGGCTGTGCAGCAGGTTGGTGCATCTCTCCAGGGGTTTCTCCAGACACATCCTCCTGTCACGTTTTGTGGTTTGTGAGGGATATGATTCACTAACCCAGCAGCCTACTGTGCTACCTGTGCCCCGTGATAGCGCTTAGCGGGAGAGCAGTGACTCACCAGTCCCCCCCAGCCCACGGGACTTAGCTTCTCGCAGGGGCTGGGGCATCGCAAGGTCCAGTCCATGCCTTCCAGCCTTTGGTCAGATGGGTTCACTTGCCACAGCATGTGGCACGTGGCTATGGCACCATAGGGATGTTGGGATGAAGGGAACAGACCTACTTTAAGCTTATCTAAGAAACGCTACTGTTATGTTATCTGCCTGCCTAGATGAAGTGTAGCACTGATGCTGCTGTCATTAATTTAAAGTTGTTCAGGTTTTTTTCTAAAAGACTTTCCTAGATAGACAAGGATTTTCTTTTTAAACTGGGATAGGTTGAGATGACTGTTTCACTCATGTATTTTCTTGTAATGTATGCAACAGTGACTGTAGTCAGTCATGCATCATGTCAGTCAGGCCTCCAGAGGTCATCTAGTCCAACCTTCTTTTTCAAGTGTCAAATACAGGGTAGTCACCTGTAAGCATGTCATGCCATGTGAGGGATCACATGAAATTAATTTTCAGGAGATTGCAAGGTGTGTTGCAAAAGAGAGCAGCTGAGACGTTACCCAGTACCACCAAGGATGCTGCAGCTGGAAACAAGGGAGAATGGGGGACAACCACTGTGAGCAGAGTCTGCCTTCAAACCTCCCATCTCCTTCCTCAGTGTGTTTGGGTGGTGCAGGGCCAGAACAAGCTCCAGTCAGAAGGTGGCTGTACCTTGGACCCACTGGGGAGTCCTCAGCGTGGCAGGGTAGAATGAGTGCCCTGAATTCTGGGGTAGACGTGCTCATGGGTTGGTCCATTTGAGCAAGGCCATTAAAAAAAATGTGTTGGCTTCTACTATTTCTGCCCAGGTTGTTTACACAATCTCTTTCCTCTGACAAAACAGTGATTCCCAGCCCAGGCGCCCTGTTCCCCAGCAGGGATAGAACACTCCTGTGAAGGCCAGCCAGGATTCCCACAGCTCTGGAGCATGAACAGAGAGAAGTGGGGTTACCATCAGACATATCTGGACACTGCTGCCCTAAATCCTACCTCAGCTGCCCCTGTCTCTCCTGCTCTGCATGTAGCCTGTGTGCTCTCAGCTCAGCACAGCCTCCCTTGCACCTTCATGGTACCGAGCAGCACGCTGAGCATCCACCACCATCTCTGATGTCCCACCTCAGCTCCACGATAGATTGCAATGGATGGATTGCAATGTGATGGATTGCAATAATGCTAGACATGAGCACACTTTGGTCTAAGGGTACAGGTGAGGGAAGTAGGAGTACATAACACATAGCTACATACACATAGCTAGTGATATTATACCTATTGTGTTGCAAGTCTAGTACTACTGGTGCCCATTAAAGAGACAAAAATCTTGTATAAAGTATTTCCAAAGAACTTTTCAGTGTCCTGACCAGTGATCAGTAGTATGGAAAGCATCCTGTAGCACATTTATTTGCATGCTGGCTGCAGTCACCTGGGCTATGTTAAAAGGATCATATCCTAACAGTAGGTAGATGAGAGCTCTGCTCACCAAGACAGGCCCCATAGCTACTCAGCTGGAAATCTGGGATCCGACTTATGCCTTTCAATCAATACAAAGCATGCTGCTGGACCTCTGGTAGCTGTTTTTTCACTTAAATTAATTGATGACCATAATTAACACATTAAATACTTTAAAACACTTATTTTGCGTAAGATGTGACTTACAATAATTGTAGCTAGCCTTAGGTGACAGGCATAATTTGAAACTGTTGTCCACTCTGCGACCTACCCACAAAGGGGGACAGAGTGAATACAGAAGTATGGAAACAGTAAATGAAGAGCAATTAGTGGAATGCCCACAAACTCAGTGCAGGTGCCTCATCTCTGCATTTTGCAGCCCTTGCAAGGGTGTTGCCTTTGGTTTTGGACAAAACATTTAGACCCCACTGTAGCGAATAGCTGTCACTACAACCTTCTGTGTGTTCATTACATTTACAGTCTGTGATTTTCACCATATCCCAAGAGTGCAAAATGCAGCAATGAGCATCACAGCATGGGCACAGTGCTGGGCTGACAGACTATGGAGGCAGCAGCTAGAAAACTCTACAGTGTCCCACACTCTAGAATAAGAAGAGCATTTTTGCTGCAGTAAGATTCAACACTAGGTGCTGTAAGAACTGTATTTGCTCACTTCCAGGTTTGGTTATTGGTTGCCAGTACAGAACATGTTAGGGTCTTGGTTCCTGGTACTGTTAGGGATGGCATGTAAAGTGTAAACTGAGAATGATATATTAGACAGCCTAAGCTGGGGGAGGGATAAATACTATATCTGCTTTCTGGACTCTGATCCTGAATCTGATCCTGAAGATCAGATTGTTAATGATTGGTATACCAATTTGGAGGATGCTAAGTATTGGTAGTGAGTTTGTGGAGCTGATACACCCTGAAAACTAGATAGTCCAACACATCTGAAGGTATCTGGAAGTTTAATTAGTCTCTACTCAGAACTGATAGAGGAAAAATATTTTGTGTTCTATAACTGTAGACATGTTTCCTTGTGTGCCACTGGTCTTCCGTAACAAAGTTGGCAAAAGTGATAGCACTAGAACAAAAAGCTTTCTCTTTTAAGTCAAAGTTTCATAGAGCTCTTGGTTGTCATAGTGCAGCAGTACCCACAAGCAGCATTTTAAGACTGTATTTCATAAATGCACTTCCATTTCTGCACAGGCAGAGAAATGGATATACTATGTTTGTGGTAAAAAAAAACAAAACAAAGGGAAAAGAAAAGCAATTCTAAAACTATGCTAAAAGATGTCTTCTCTTGGATGCTTCCATTGTAAATCTTTCATTGTGTGCTTCATTTTGATGGTGGATATGGCAGTTCTGGCATATTGACACAAAGAAGGTGAATAGGCTGAAGAAATAATTTCATTTTTCCACTTTCTGGGTGACTAGCATTTCTGTGCTGTGTTGTCCAAAGTTGTGGTGCTGTTACAGGGCAAGAGTCACCTGATTAAGAAGGTTATTGCTGTGATCAAGTCGGATTTCCTATCTCTCAACTCTCACCCTCTGCAGCTACTCGTATTTCCCCTCTGGGCTGAAAAGTCCCACATTTCAGCCTCCATGTGACTTCTTGCAAGTTTGAGCAAGAACATCCGCTCCTTTGGTTTTGCTAGCAGGGAAGAAGTTTTATTTCTCCTGCATGGTACAAGAAGTTGCCTAGCTCAGAAGTGACTGAAGGCAGCAACTGCGAACTGCTGGGCTCTATCCTTCTTAGAGCAGCAGAGGAAGAAACAAATCAAGCTGAAATAAAAGAGATCATTCAGCTCAAAGCACTTTGTAGTTATGAGCAGTATTTTGCCTGCTCACACTGGATTTTTCTGTATATGTTGTTGCAGGTTCTTGCCATAGGGCAGTTCAAGAGGGCTAAGCATGTGCGCGTTCAGATACCTCACTTCAGGATTCTTCAAGTCATTTCTATTCAGGGTGTCTGTTGGGAGAGCAAGTCTAAACACCCCATTCATTTCAGGAGGTGCAATAGCAAGTTCCAAGGGGTTAAGGAATAGGGCTGACTGTAAAGGTACTGAACTGAACACAGAAGGGAGTATGAATTCTCTAAGTGTTGGCTTGGTATGGTTTCAGTGATGTGTCACTCCACATGACTGAAGTGGGATGCTCATGCTTTGCCATAGTGTGGTGTTCACCAACCATTTTTCGGGCTGACCAAACCTCCTCTGGACACACCAAGAAGCTAGAATTCATCTAATCACACATTTGCCATCTTAAAGTTAGGAGTCTTATTTGAACTTATTTACCTGCAAACAATAGAGAGGGATAGGCATCTCAAGCAGGTGGATCAGCTAATCCTGGACAGAGGTTTAAGCCAGGAAGGATAAATTGCCTTCCAGAGATATCTCCATCTTGTCTTTGACTACAGAAGGAGCCTAGGCAGCAAGTTTAGACTAGAAGCTTAAAACAGAGATCATTAAAGGTTAGCAGGAGGATTCTCACCAAATAGTAATGGTAGGAACTATTCTATGTGCCCATCAATGAAACTGGCTCCATCTTGAGTCCAGTGGTTTTAATATTCAGATCTAAATTGTACATTGCATGCTTAATGCTATAGCTCTTACTAGCCAGACTTCCTGGGTCTACATGATTGTGAAGAGCAGGTAGAGCGATGGATGAAGAAAACCTGGCCTTCAACCCCAGCTCTTCCAGGACCAATTTGTGTGACTGGAGAACACAATTTACCTCTCTGCCCCTCAGCTTGTCCATCTATAAAAAGAAACATTGGTACTGTTTGACATTCAGTCAGGATCCTCAGAGCAGTCAGTCAGCTCAGTGATGTAAGTGTTGAGAGATGCTTCTACTTCTCAACAGGCACCAGAAGACACTTTTCTCTATCACCTCCCAAACCTGCATACACAACATAGTGGCGGTTTGTACATCCTAGGAAATTGGATTAGATTGATGGATTCATCTATCACCCTGAAGGTGTTGTTGCCCA